AATACCATCATCTACTGGCTGTTAAGGTTAAAAAAATCAAAATTAAGTGCATCTACTGTCTGCTCTAAGTAGTATGTCCTATGCCCTCTTACATCTCTTTAACAGGGCATTTATTTTCATCAAAAAAGGAGCCTCTCTCTCTGAGAACTCCCCACACTACTCCTACTTTTCCTTTCTCAGATTGAATTCTCCACATTAACTTTTTATGAAATCTTGGACTTTCACTGCCTGAGTTCAGACTCAGAAACAGATTGTCACTGAAGTGAGATTCAGTCTGTTACCTTGTTGTACCCAGGTTTTGGGGTTTGTTTGGTTTGCCCTCCTGCTTCTTGGATGCTTGGATCTCCATCTGCAATCAGCTTGTCCTTCCCTTTGGGATTGTTTTTCCCTTTCTGAAATCTGTCTTATTCATTTGATAGTGATGAAATATTTGTCTCCCAATTACTCTATTGTACCTGTTGTTAAATTGCTGATAAGTTGCTTCAGAAATAAGTTTCTATAAGAGGATATGTCTACTTGGCTGTCACTGTTATTGCTTGTTGCTACATGATTGATTACTGTTATTATTGATTGTTGACCCACTTTTGATTGATCCTGTATCAATGAAAGCTAATGATAATCTGTAATAGTTTGAGATATACGTACTCCGTTAAACATAGGCATACTTGTTAGTGGTAAGTTTTGTGATCATTTACATGGTAATGGTGATTCATGTGGCATTTGTGGTAACATAGTAGAGAATAATAATATAATATATAATATAGTAGAGAAATTTAAAAGAGAAAGTCTCTGTGTCCCTGTGTATTGCAAAATACTACTAACCCTTTGTTAGAGTTTTTATACATCTGAAGAGCAGTCAGACTTTAGATTTTGACAATCACTAGACTCAACAGATACAAACTTCTTTGTCGAAAGTACTGGCTAAAATGAAATGAATGATTGTTTAGACAGCATCCCTTCAAACATTCTCAAGTATCTAATGAAACAGAGATGTGTTTTCTTTTTCTTTGAGTTGTACACCTTCAAAAGTTTGAGGGTGTATCAACAGTTTCATAATGTCAATAAATATAAGTGATTTGAATACAATGTTTGGGTTTTCAAAGACAGGAGGAGGGAGGATTAACTATGGATAGGATGGAGAGAAGATTAGCTATTATTCTATCTAGACATCTACTCCTAATGTTGTAAAAAAAGACAGGATACACCAAGACAACATGGAAAAAGCATGTTTTTCCTCCGTCCTAAAATGAAATGTAAGTAAAAATTTATTACAACCTGTAGCTAAGTAAATCACATATTACATAAGCTCTCAAATGAGAAGTCTAAAAATATTTCTTACAATATAAGATTTCAGAAAACAAGGTTAATATAAATTTTATAAGACATTTAAAACATGTTGAGGTCAATTTTTGTGGATTATCTAGACTGTGATACTTATGTCTGAAAAGAGAAGGTTTCATTAAGTCTTAATGATTTAAAAGAAGTAAAAGTGACAGAATCACTTCAATTGAGCAGCAAAGAAGACATCGTAGAGTATTACCAGTTTGAGACAGTGTCCCATTCAGTACATCAATATACCCAAAAATTATCTACATCATGAATTCAAAGGTAGGACAAAAAAATTCTGATAGATATTTGCAGCAAACTTTAACTTATACATTTACATATATATGTTGGATTTTATTTCTGTTAAGTCTGTGGATTTTACAGTTTTGTTCTTGTTACAGAGGTTTTTTTACAGTAACTACATGTGTGTGGCTTGACAACACAGTACTCTCTAAAAGGCCTCTGTAATTCTTTCATGCTTACAAGAAAGTTCTAAAGGACTTTTTTTACCTCTCTTCATGTAAGTTTATGGTCATACACTATTTATCTGACACTATTTATCTGACACTACTTATCTGACACTACCTCCACTGAAATAAAAACTAAATAGATGAGAGAAAAAAAAAAAAAATCACAAGAATCTATGATAAGGTTAACCATGAGTGGCTGAAGGGAAAGTGGTGGTTGCAGCCTTTCGGGGTTTTAGTGAAACTTTTAATACTGTCTCTCTGTACAGGTTTGGATTGGGATAGAATTTTCTTTTTTTTTCAGAACAGCCACTATGGGGATGTGTTTTGTGTGTTTGTGCAAAAACATGGCTGATAACACAGGGATGCTACCACAAGTGCTGAGCGGTGCTTGCACTGAGTCAATGCCTTTCCTGTGTCTCACCCCATCTCACCAGAAGCAGGCTGCAGGTGTGCAAGGGGTTAGGAGGGGCACAGCTGACCCCAGCTGACCCAAGGGATATTCCATATCACAAGACACCATGCTGAGCAATAAGTTTAGTAGAGAGCTTGGCAGGGTGGACATGCTTCGGGGACTGGCTGTGCATTGGTCAGTTGGTGGTGAGCAATTCTTTTCATTTACATCATGAAACACATGACTATGATCAAGCTGCTGCAGGGAATGCCTTCCAACACTGCCTTGGCGGTGAGGGAAAGCAAAAGCAGAGAATTTCTCATAGTTCACCATGATTTCACTTGATTTCAGTGCTGCAACAGGCAACATGAATTTGTTGAATGTCTTAAATCTATGGGGCCTTTTGGGTTTCATCCCAAAGTACTGAATGATCTAGTCAGTATGGCAGATATCTTGATCTTTTACCAATGGTCTTAGGAGGCTGGGGACATCCCCACTGACTGAAAACTAGTCAACGTTGCTCCAATTTGCAAGAAAGGCACAAAGAAATAGAAGAGAGTTAGAACACAATGGAATAGAATAGAAAACATCACAGGAATATTTCTTGATCTTGACTTTGGTAAGGCTTTGACACAGTCTTACACAAAATCATTGTTGCTCTTGGTTTGATGGATGGACTTCTAAATGGATGGAACTGGCTGAATGGCTGCATCCAATGTTGCAGTTCCTAACTCTATGTCCAAATGGAGATCAATAGCAAGTGAAGTCCCTCAGGGTTTTGTGTCAGGACTGATACTTTTGAATATATTCATCAATGACATAAAGAGATTAAATACAGCCTCAGCAAGTGGTTGGATGACACTGAGTGATGCAGTTGATATTCTAGAAGGAAGGGATGCAATCCAGAGGGAACCTTGACAGACTTGAGGATTGGTATAATGTGAACCTCATGAAGTTCAACAAGGAAAAGTGCAAGACCCTTTTCTGGATTGGGCAAATCCCCAATATCACAACAGACTGGGAGATGGATGGATTAGGAGCAGCCATGCTGAGAAAGGAATTAGGGATATTGGTAGATGAAAAATTACATGTCTGCTGACAAGGTACACTTTCAGGACAGAAAGCCAGTCATATCCTTAGCTCATGAAAAGAACTGTGGCAGCCAGCTGAGGGATGAAGCTCTTTCCCTATACTCTGCTCTGGTGAGGTGCCTCCTTGAGTGCTGCATCTGACTTGGGGGCACCCAGGACATAAAAACATGGATCTGTTAAAGTGGACCCACAGTAATGCCATGAAAATAATGAGAAATAATGAGAATGATGAAAGACCTCTCCTGTGAGGAACAGGCTGAGAGGTTTGGGATTGCCTAGCATAGTACAGAAAAGGTGGGGGTGGTGACCTTATTTTGGCCTTTCAATATTTAAAGGTGAATGCTAGAAAGATGATTTTTTTTTTTTTTAATGACGGCCACCTGTGATAATACAAAACCTAACAGATTAAAATTAAAAGCATTGTCAGGCACTGGAACAGGTTGCCCAGAGAAGCTTTGAATTCCCCATCATTAGAAATGTTCTAGGTCAAGCTGGATGGGACTTTGAGAAATTTGATCTAGTGGAAGGTGTCCCTGCCAATGGCAGAATTTTGGAGCTGTGTGGTTTTCAAAGGTACTTTTCAACCCCAAACCATTCTATGATTTTACAATTCTAAAACATAAAAATGTGAAGCTCATTCTTTTTGCCCTTTCCACACTGTAATAGATTCCATTTCCCTTCTCTTTCTCTGTGTTGTAAAACACAGTATAAAAAACAAGTTACAGATTTCACTGGAAAAAATATTCTAAAACTATCTTCTGTGAATTTACTTTTGGTGTCAGTGGTTCATGTTAGCAATTTAACTATATATAGTGTATCTGTTATCACTTCATGTAGTGTTTCAAGTATAGTTGAAAAGATTACACTAGAATACTCCAGAACTGCCACTTTGACTGGTACTTGGAGCATTACTGTACTGCAGTTTTCACAAATACTATTATTTACATTGATACATTGGTACTTAAAATACCCATTCTTCTCATAATGTGTTGTGAGAATGTATAACAAAGCAGTGCTTCTGTCTAAGGAGAAATTTCAGCACAAGATTCTAGCTGAAAGCCACTGTATCTATCAAACCCTGAGAGGAAAAAAATAGAAAAAAACAAGCCAAGATAATATGTAGAATCTCTTATTTAACTCTCGTGTATGCTACATTAAATTTCCAAACCTCATTTAAATTAGTTGAACTATCCATTGCAATTCATTTACAATTGAAAAATTACTCCAAAGATAGTGTACAGTAATGTTCAAAATAATTCAAGTTTAATACCTAGTTTAGCTTTTCTAAACCATGTTTACTGCAGAAATACAATCCAGCTTCTCAGTCTGCTATGAAGATCATAGAAATAGCTATTATTCTTGGAGACATCAAGTCCTTAAAGGGAATTTGAACAATTTTATGCATTTATTTTCATATGATATTTCAAATACAAATCTAATGTTATTTTATAATCTATGTTAATGAATTATTTCATATGTTGTGGTATCAAAAATTAGCAGGTAGTAACTACAGAAGGTTAATAAATTATTTTACCAACTTGAGCTAGAATACAGTGAATTTTATTCATTGCAGATTGCATGGTGCTATGTTTTTGATTTGTGACCGAGGCAGTGTTGAAAACACACTGGTGTTTGCATTGTTGTTGAACAATGCTTACTTTAAGTCAAGCTTCATCCACGCATGCTGCCCAGCCAGTGAGCAGTCTGGGTATGCAGGAGAAGCTGAGGAGACACAGCTGGAACAGCTGGCCTAAACTGACCTAAGGGATACCCCATACCACATTGTGTCATTCTCAGCAATAAAAGATGTGGAGAAAAGGAAGAAGGAGGTGATGTTCTGAATACAACGTTTGATTGCCCAAAACTGTTTGTCCCTGCTACATGTGGTGAGTTCTGCTTTCCTTGGAACGTCTGATCATCTCCCTGGTGATGGTAAGCAGTGAATCAATTCCTTATTTTGGTTTGCTTTCATGCACAGTTTTTGCTTAATCCTCTAAACTGTCCTATCTCACCCTTCCTCCTTATCTCAGCCTTCACCAATCTGATTCTTTTCCCCATTGCATTGTGAGGGAAGAGAGCAAGTAGCTGTGTGGTGCTGAGCTGCCTACTGGGGTGAAGCTACAACAATCCTTTTATGGAACCCAAGGTGAGTCTTGAAGGGTTTGTGATAAGGACAGATTTCAGTGTGATAGACTGAATTTATAGCTGCTGAAACTGTTCAGCTATTAACTGCTAGTCTCCCGTGCTTGCCATGGGGCTTGCTTGCCTTATTGTATATAAATGTCTAGAGCTTGTTAGTGGCTGCTTTCACTATTTTCTGTATTGCTTATCATACTACTGTGCTATGCCTGCGAACACTTTGATAACAGCAACAGCAATCTGCCTTGGTTAGCAGAGGGACAGGGAATTTTTGCTCTTCCTGTGCTGCTGTACTGGACAGGCTGGAACTTGAATCAGAACGCCAGCTAAAGGGATTAGGGCCAGTGGAGAAGTCTGCATGGGCACAGGGATAACTCATAGGTATTTGTGTCCATCTAAAAGGCCATTTCAGAGCATTCCAATGTCCAGAGTTATAGTGTTTGTCTTCTCAAGTAGCTGCTAGGCATGGGGAAACCATGCTTTCCCTTAAAAAACATCTGCCTGCAATAAGCAGTGGTGAATGAGTTCCTTACATTGCTTTTCTTATGCATGCAGCTTTTGCTTTAATAAGCTTAAGCAATCAGGGAGTGTTAAGCAGCTCTGTGGTGCGTAGCTGCCTGCTGGGGTTAACTTAAACAATTAACAGTGACTTTAAAGTTAGAATATTTCTTTATTTTCTGTTTTTCTATTATTGTTCAAATGTGTTACTTTGTTGAGCTTTCACTCTCTTCATGTCCAACTTCTGATAAAATTGCAATGAAACAGTGACCCTGTGTTAAAGAGATGAGTTTGTTACTATGGTGATGGCTGAATAATTACAAACTAAGAGTCTGACTTCATTGTTAAACTGAAATTACAGATGTTTTATAAGGTATTCCACCTGTATTTAGACATCTCAAGTAAACTTTTGATCTTATCTTCCGTGAAAAACTAACTGATTTTAAATGTTTGAGCTTGTTTAACAGATGAGTAATGATGGGAGGAAAGAGAAATGCTAGCAATGGCATTTCACAAAGCCTGCTTAGGCATATTCAGAAAGTTTGTAGTAGAGCAGACGTGTGAATTATAAAACATGTAATCTAGGGCCAAATCTATTATGGCGGAATTGTTTAGCATCCTAAATAAATTAATAAAAGACAAATATCTGAGTTTGTGATCCTGTTACCACTTTCCATGAGGCATTCTTAAGGATTCTTAGAAAAAAAAAAGACAGAGTTTCATTGTTACAGATTGAACAAATTTATAATTCTTTGTAAGTTATTTCAAGTGTTGATGTCTTTGGTTCCATTTTTGTTTTGTTAATATACACATTTTAAAACTACAAATAAATGTTTTCTACCATTTTTAAAAATTCTTTGTGAACTCAATGTAAGTATTTTTAAATTATTTTAGATCATATGAATATAGAAAGAAAGGTAAAAAAATTGGGGAAGCTGTGTCTATCAAGTACAAAAAAATTAATGAATGAATGAATGTTACATGTAAAACCTCCTCATTTTGTTATCATTACACTGTACTTAAACTCATCTGCATACCAGGGAGCATTAGCTGAAATGCAATTTTCAGTATAATGAGACAATCAGACTTAATAGAATGTAACAGGATACAAAATACTTTGTTCTTTTGTATCAGCTGTGTTTTAACCTTATCAGAAAGTCAGATCAAAACTACTATTCAGTAATTTGAAATGCATATAGCATAAAATAAAATACAAATGTCCCTTTAGGGACCTAGAATTAGTGTTTTCAAATAGAAGATTAAAGACAGTGAAAAGATGCCTTTGAATTCAAAGGCTCAGTTGCAATAACACTGATTTCAGTTCTGGTATTTCAAAGAACATAATTCATACTATCTTGAACAATTATGTTCTTAGGTGAGAAAGGTATTTAAAAACTGTTGTCAGATCTTCTTGCTTTTTCCATTAATGGTACAGGACAATCAAATTTCTCAATCATTGTATGTCAGATACTGAAAGAATGCTGATGTTTTTAACATTTGTATGTGGAAAACAGAAGGAATCTGAATTAAATAAGACAAAACTTAAGATGCACCATGAAAGTCTATTTTGTCATCTGTTATCTCCTCCATAAATGAAATATGTATGATTATTATAGGTAAGGGGACAACGTACTTTTCAAGGCCATTGCTGATTTACTTGCATATTCAGTATGTGAACAAAATTAAGAAAGTATGATATAATTCTTTCTATTTTGGCTATATAGATCTTTTCCACAAATAGACTGATTTTCTTGGTTTATTGCCTTATGAGAAATCAATACAGCAATTGTCATAGGTGAATTAAAAAAATTGTCTTCTTCGAGTGTTGTGCCATGTTTATTTTTAAAAACCTACAAAACTAACCTTCCTATTATGATTGCTACCCAAATTATTTACAAATACTGAGGAAACCCTGCGTTTGGTGAGATTGTATTGTAGTACATATTCTATAAACACAATTTTTAAAAATAGTCTCTTCCTCAAGTAGATAATAAACTTATGGAACTCTTTTATAGAGGCAAATGTCTATGGAACATTTGCACGTGCAACTGATCTGTTTTTATTCAAAGTGCTTTGCCAACAGAGAACTTGAATGATGGTTGGGTTACTCAGGCTACTTCCCTACAGCTATACTTAGCTGTGTATATTGTTTGTCTTACACCTAATTTTTCACTTTCAAGATAATACTGACTCAAATACTCAATGCTATTTTGACATGGATTCCTGAAGACTAAATGTGTTTCTGTGGTTACTGATACACTTCACCCTGGCAGAATGCAAATCATTTAACAGCTGTTTTGAACATCTTGTTCTAGGCTCAAGTTGCCAATATGACATTAACTAGAGATTTTTCTATTAAAAAGGTTCTCCTCTCATTAAGGCATCATGAAAGAAGCAAAAGGCTGGTCCTCATGGGAGTTTAGTTCTTTTTACAGAAAACTTGTTTTCTTTTATTATTCTATTATTTTTTTTTAATTTTGCTAGTGTCTTCACAGTTTTCATATTAATTTATCTTTTCTTTCTACCATTCTTCTTTTTTATTACTTTGGCATTAATATTTTTACATTTAAAATATAAGTATTGACTGAAAACAAGGAAAACTTTATTATCTGAATAACTACTATATTGTGTCTTCTTACAATAAACATTCTTTTCAACTCCTTACAGATCATTTTTAAAGAAAAACTCAAGGGAGAGAAAAAAATTTCGAAGTATCACATTATATTTTATTTGTTAATGAGGATATGCTTAATATATGATTCCTAAGATCCTTTTTGATTATTCACATGTGTGTATTAGAACAGATGATCCCATTAGGAGATACCATCATCTCTTTGGCTGTTGTCTTCAGAGGAACATAAATTCAAGTTACTAAAAGTTCAGCTTCTACTTACTGAATATTTCTTAGCTGTCACAGAAATGAAACCATGGCTGCATCTGCTCCTCATCAAGCAATCTGGTCCAGTGGGAGGTGTCCCTGCCCATTGCAGGGGGCTTGGAACTCAATGCTCTTAAAGGTCTCTTTTAACTCAAACTATTGTATGATTCCATATGCTGTGGCTAACTCTTTCATTTTTGTTCTGCAGATTTTACTTTTTACTCCAGAAAGCCAAGCTCAAAGAAAATAAACACTAGTAACTGAAGTTCATTATAAATATCTGATAGTATGTGTCAACAGGGATTTAATAACCAATAAATTTCTTTTTTTCTCCCAGTAAGTTACAATGTCATCAGAAACAAGAATCGATGGGGAGCTTTAGCAGATCTCACTGAAAGGGTAATACTAAGAAAAAAACATGCTGAAAATCATCATCATCATCATTGACACCTCCCTCATTTGGGGGAACCCCACAGGGGAGGATGTGTACCCATGTTCCCTGTTGCTTATAACTGCTTTTACCATTTCCTATAGGCATTTTCCCCCTTAACTCCTTTCTGTCTGTCTCTCATAGTCTCTCCTTTAGTTACTCCAAGGTAACCTTCATAATTATGGTTCAGGTATGCCATCAACTACACATTCTGCTAATAAATGTTCATATATATGAACTGAATATGAATAATATTCCTTATGCAAAAAGCATGTATTTAGTTAGAAAGTCACAATTATTTTGTGAGCTAAATGAGAAGACAGTTGCAGTATGTATTGTTATTATCTATTTCTCATCAGCCTTTTAATGCTGTTTAAAATGGGCAAGTACTGGTTCTAGCTGTCTCAACTAGGCATTTTATTTCAGTGTCATGCTTTTAATTTTGTTAAAACAATTTTGTCTATTACACCCCTGAAGCAATAAATCATCCAGCTTCCCTAATTGCCCTTCCTGTCATTTGAGAATTTCAACAGAAATATAAGAAACGCCCACCTCTTTTGATCAGATCAAAGATTCCTTTAAAAGCTTGTATACTGATTTATCATCAGGAAAAGACATGCTTTGCCTCTGTATTTTATTACTTATTTGGTTATTCAGCTTTTATGCATTTTCTCAAAAGGCTTTTTCCCTCTTTTAGTATTAAATAAGGTCATACCTTGTTAAGAGGAAAAAAAATTCTTAAAGCTTAGATATCTAATCTATTGACTTGAAAGGAATTTTTACTGTAAATTATGCAGGTATACTTATACATTAGCTTACAAATATAATTCCATATTTGATTTATATGATGAAAGCTGTTGAGTAAGGAAATAAATTACTTCCTAATTCTGTTAGAGAAAGATTCAATTCTATGATTATCACTATTAATTAGTACAGGACACATACCATACCTTCACTTTAGAATGTGTATTGTTTTCCAGTTAGTTAGTGGTCATTCTAAATATTTGTGGAATATGTTTTCTCTTTTTCTTCCCTCTTCCCCTGACTTTTCCTGCATTTTTGCATGAGACCTCTTGTTATGACTAAACAGTATTCTAAAACTGCAAAAATAAAATGCAGCAGTGTTTTTGATTGATCTATAGAAATACATATAGAAAAGTTATTTTTTAATATGTTTTTATGGTACCTTAAAATATATACACTAAGATAATACAATTAAACAAAACAAAATACATTATGTAAAATTACCTGGACACCTTTGAAAGCAAGGTACTATATGTATTGGTTTTAGTACTATATTTATGTATTTTGTTACAAGATATTACAGTGGTTAAAAATTGCTAAGGTGTATCTTTTGCTTTTTAGGTATCTACTAGATAGATGTAAGAATAATGTGTGAATCATAAGGACATAAGATTGAAATGAAAGTCTGTCAAAAGAAGGGGAGTAAGACACTGTGTAATTTGTCTTGCACAGATGAATTCCATCCTTCTGGTATCTGAAGATATTTAAAAACTGGAGAAAATAAAAGAATTCCCTCTACCATTCTCTGGAAGAATTTGAAGCAGATGAATAAACAGAATAAAGGAATGGATGAGTATGTCTTGGTGAAACACTATCAAGACTTTGGTCAAAATTAGGCTGAACATTCACTGTGTGCATTTGAAAATTCTTGTTGAGTAGAAATGAATCAATGGTAAGTACAGGGAATATCACACCTTGGATTTCTACAACTCCATTCCCTAACAGATCTATTGCCTGCAAACTCGGAGAGCTACCAGCTGCCTGTTTTCAAGACAACCAGACCAGGCTTCCCACAAGCTGACAGTGCAATTTAGCAACAACATGGATACCACCTTTAGAAAAAGACTAGGCAGTTTAATGCTCATTTCAGGACATATTTGAGTCTGAATTGTTTTATTTCTTTTCAATTATGATTTTTTTCCTCCTGACCCAGCTTTTTTTTTATGATGTTTTTGTTTCCAGAGGTTCAATGTTAGACAAAATAGAGACATAAAAGATAAAACACAAGCTCATCACCATTTCTTTTTAAGTTAAATGAAATATTGTCATTTAAACACCAAGCAACAATCACAATGGCGCTGTGTCATCAATAATCATTTGTTCCTTCACTTGCTCTTAAGGAGGATCCATTTCCCACTGACATTAATAACTAAAATGCAGCTGTTTTCAAGGAAAATAAAGGAAGCAGGTGTCTTTAGCATTCAGGTTGTCACATGCATTGAAAATGTGGAATGAAAAAGGTATTTTTATCAGAAAAAAATCTAGTCATAAATATAATCCAAAAAGTAAACTCGACATCTATCTATCAAAACCAAACAAAACAAACAAAATCCAAACAAATAATAAAAAAAAAACCAAAAAGCCCAAAACTCACACTCAAAAAACATCCCCAAAACACCAAAAAAAAAAAAAAATCACCCTCTACAATAATTTTTGTCCTGTCTTACTCCAATACAGTTTTTCCCTTTACCTTTGTTTCTGCTGATTAATAAAAAGATAGGGATTAAATGGCCATTTTTCTTAATAAAAGAGTCTTGAAATTCTTTTTTTTTAAACCCATAAGTGTTTTGAATTTTGTAATTTAAAAACTTAGATTATAATACACCAAGGATTAATAGGAAGTGGCAACAAAACTTGCAACAAAAAATTCAGATGTTTTATTTTCTATATTAATATTTATAACTATTTTGCAAAAGAGATATCATAGTTATTGCATATTCAAATCTATATTTATTGAATATATATATAAATATAATACTTTGTATTATTATGTATAAAATAATTATATATTTTTATTACTACTATTGAATATAGTAGTTGAAAGTAAGCAATAATTAAGCTTGGCAGGAGCATAAACATAGTAAATATTGTGTTTCATCTGTCTTTTGCTTGAATTAATGTTTAGCATAACTTTTCCACCACATTGTTTCAGTATGCTTAATAAAAAATTGTTATAATCGATAAAAAATTAATATGAAAATGAAAAGAAAATTGGCTCTTTCATGTATCTTAGAAATGTTAAAATAGTTCACTTTGTGATGCTTTTTTTATGTATATTTATGCTGAATATGTATAGTAAGAAAATATTTTAGCAAGCATCAGATCAATTTACTTCCAATATCTTCTATTATTACACAGTGTAAAGTACAAAAAAAATCATATAAATGCTGTCAATATGTACATATGTACTGCAATAAAATTACGAAAATGTTTTTTCTTTAAAATCTTTATAAATTACTTAATTTTCTTTCAAAATATCATTATATGATTTTAAAAAACATAGGAATTGTGAACCCTTTCATTTAGAAAAAACAGGACACACTTAGAAGCTGAAGTGAAAGAATCCAAGATTGTTAGAAGCAATAAAACCAGAAGATGCATGTGAGAAATGAAGGATACAAATGAGTTCTGGTAGCACTCTCCTAGTTGAATGTAATGGTGGTCATTTCCCCCACAGTATTTTAATCATGGACTCTTATTTATGAACAACTAGAATATTGGTGTTCTGTCAGGCAGTTCTATTTTCCATTACTGCAGTCTCTCATAGACATTTTATGATCATCTGTAAAACCAGTTGTGTCCGAAAGAAAGCTATCTGCAGTAAATTTATTTATTGAAGGGTTGTGGCAAGACTCTGCTTTTAGATGTAAAAATTAAATCATCTTTCTTTCACAAACAAGCTAACCAAAATAAAACTTGCAGATTTTCCATATATTGTCACTGACTCATTTGACCAACTTGTTCTGATGCTGTGAAACCTGCAGTTTCATTCAGTTATACAGACCAAAGAATACTTCCCATGCTTACTCTCAATTTAGAAGGCCTAGGCTCCTTCAGGACTATGCATGGGGAAGAATACAACCTGTATTTCCTATCTCAGCCCATTCCTGTGAACAACAGTTACAGCATAAAATATCAAAAAACTTTAAAACATTGATTTTTTTCTCTCTACATGTTATAATTTTTCTAACACAGTAAGAGGGACCAATCTGATTTTCCTTTATGCCCCAGCATGTGTAACCCATGAGGGGCTGCAGGGGCTGTGCCCGTGCTGGGAGCGCTGTCCCCGGAGGCTCCGCCTGGCAGATCCCTGTGCCGGGGGAACATGCCCAGAAATCGGGCTGTGGAGGAGCTTTAGCTCATAAAATCAGTGAATGCACCGCCTCTGCAAGCCGGGGTCGTTTTGTTTGGCCAGCAGCAGGGACACGTGGCTGCTGTGCTTGGAAATCGCACCTAACCTACCACAGGAATGGTCTATAGACTCAAATGTGAGAATTCATGAATTTCACATGTCTATATTAAAGGCTTATAGAATCATAGAATCGTTTCGGTCAAGATCATTATGTTCAACCCGTACCCTAGGACTTCAAAGTCTACTGCTAAGCCATGACTCCCAACATGTCTTTTAAATACTTCTAGGGCTTGTGACTCAACCACTTCCCTGGGAAATTCTTCCAGCACTGACAACCTTTTCAGGTTGTCAGGGCTTTTCAGGGAAGACATCTTCCTTTATATCTATTCTAAACCTATCTTGGGGCAACTTGAGGCCATTTCCTCTCATCCTATTACTTGTTACATGAGAGAACAGACTGACCCACCTTGCCATCACTTCCTTACAGCATGTGCATATGCTTTTTATTTGCAGGGGGTTTTGACCTTTTTTCTTTAGCTTTTCTCAGACATTTTAGTCTATTATCAAGTTATAATTTGACCAAGTTATAACACATCAGTACTATATCACTGCAATCCACTTGTCTTTAAAATTTCTTTTTATTAAGATCTTGCATAGGACCAAGGACTTTGAACTGCCATCGAAAATGGTTCAAAGGATTATATATGAAAGAGACGCCAATACTGGTGTAATAACAAAGGAGAGAAGTGCTCATTGGCTAGAGACAGATTGTACCAGAGAGATTGAAATTGAAATATGGATGACAAACCACATATGCAGGAAAAGATTCCTCACTGCTCCCCTTACAAGCAAACAAAAATCCTTAAAATACCTTTCTTATTTTTTCCTCTTTGGTAGGCTCAGCACTTGTGTCTGAGAAATTAGTTTGACAAGGCATTTGAGTTTACATATGCCAGGTGATGCTAAGTGGGCAATGAATGTTATTTCTGTCTTGGTTCATGTATTTTTAAAATATACTTTATTAAACACATCTACCTTTAAAATGGAAAATACATAATTTATAAATGTATGTACTTATAATGGGAGAGTAGTAGAGCAATCTTCAACAAATGAGAAATACTTATTCTCTCTGCCACACAAAATTACACTTCTCCATGGCGGGCTCTTCCCTTTCACATGCCAAATCATTGGCTGTCAGGACCATGTTTGGGCATGATATACAGAATTCCTGTTATGGAGGGTCTGACATTTACATTTTCTGCACTGATACTGACCATGCACCTAATCATAGATGCAGACAACAGCTCCTCACTCCAGGGAGATAATGCCCTGCAAGCAACCCTCCCACACACTTCTGGTTAATCTCTGACTTCAGCTTAGAAGAAAGAAAAGACAGTATGATGACATATTAATCTCTTCGTTCACAAAATATTTTGTTTTCCTAATTAAAGTTTCATCAGTTCAATTTATGTCATTAAACAAAAAAGTGTTATTTATTACTTTGTTTAAAATGCTCTGCTGGAGATGCTTCCTGTTGAAGGTGGAAACAGACTCAGAAGTGTCCATCAGAAGCAGGAGGGGCAAAAACCAGGAAGATTTGAAAGAATGTCTACTACAATTAGAACTGTCAAACGCAGGCTGCCCAGCAACACTGGGAACCATGGCCTTGGGGTGATAGACAGCCTGACCTAAATTAGTCCCCTCTTCAAGTGGTGGGTTGGACAAGATGACCTTTAGTATCTTTGACAGCAGATCTCATTGATTCTCTGAATATATTTATACTGTGGTCATTGCCATAGCATCTGAGTGCAAAAAGCGCTAGCATTTAAGTGATAACATGTAAATTTCATACAGGTATACTTATGTTTTACAACATGACATAATCAAAAGAAATTATAATAAGATACAGAACATATAAAAATAGAATTTTTTAATAGAAGAATTTCTTTCAACCAGTAGAACTTAGGTTCTTGTTTCATAATCCTGTGTTCTTGAAAGAGACCCCAATTTTTCCTAAATGCATGTTCTCAAAAAATAAATCAAATCAGCTTAAAGCTAACTCCTTTAATAATACATATAATGCTAAGAAAATATTGATCTCTGTTAAAATAATTATACTTTTTATCCCAGTAATGGAAACTGCCTAAGCTGATAAATTAATTTTACAACATTAGCAGATATGAAAGCCTTTAGATCTAGGTTTGTACTTCATCTAGTTTTTTGTGTCACACATACAGAAAGCATATTTCTGAGTCCTGGTAGCTTTGGAAAACCTCAGAATATCAGAAATAAGAAACACTGACTTCTTTAAAGCAGTTATTCCTGAGACCTTACAGCAACTATGCTGACAAATATTTGAGGATGATAAAAGGGAAAGAAAGAAATCACTGAATTCTAATCAACATGCCATTTACTTCTTTCAAGAATTACTCTTTGTGTATCTGTAGGAAAGAAAAATACAGATGATAATACTAGAAGAAAATGTCTATTTATTAAAAATCATTCTCGAAATCTGATTTGCAAAGACATTATCACTACATTTTCTGAATCCTTTTTTTTTTGTTAGAGACTGAAATTTCCAGTTTGGCAAATAACACCTAATGTAAGTCTCTGGGGAAAATGTAATGCACTTCACAAGGTCAAGAAGTGGACCCATGTGAACCCCATGAGGTTCAACAAAGCCAAGTGCAAAGTCCTTCAGCTGGTTTGGCAACTCCTGATATTAATACTGGCTAGGGGATGAAGGGATTGCTAGCAGCTCTGCCAAGCAGGAACTGGGGGTGCTGGGCTGAGCATGAGCAGGCAATGTGCACTTGCAGCCCAGAAAGACAACTGCATCCTGGTCTGCATCAACAGAAGCTTGGCCAGAAGGGTGAGGGAGGCCATTCCTCCACTCTTCTCTCTTCTGGTGACACCCCACCTGGAGTGCTGCTGATGTCCTTCCTGTACCTGATGTCCAGCTCTGGGCATCATGGTACAGGAAAGACATGGGCCCACTAGGGTGGAGGGCTGCTGGATGGGACCATCAGAACCTGGAGAAGAGAAGACTCTGGGGAGATGTTATTTGTAATGTTTTGATACTTGAAGGGGCTAGTAAGAACAGTTTAAAAGAGGGTAGATTTAGATTAGATGTAAGGAAGACTTTTTTTTTTTTTACAGTGAAGGTGGTAAGAGACTGGAACAAGTTGCAGAGAAGTTGCAGAGAGTTGTCAGATGTCCTATGACTGGAATCTTCTTGGTAGGTTGGATGATGTTTTGAGAATGTAATAGGTGCTCTAGAAATGAGATAACAGTGAAAGGAAGAAGCATATTTCAATTCTTCTGGCATCAGTCTCCAAGAAGCGATGCAAGCCCTCCCTCCCCTTAAGGAGGAATTACAGAGCACGAAGAAAAAAAAATAAAAAACAACACCTAGAAGGCAATTGGGCCTCTCTGTTGGCAAGTGGAGACTTATTGAGTGGTGACAGTAGCCCATACATTTTAATTGAAGATTCTAATGCAAATATCTTAGGTTTCAATGTTTTAAATGGATGTCCCTGCCGAACGCTGATGTTTGGTCCTTAGGTTCAGACATCA